TTTTGAGACCAAGTCTCATGTATCCCAGGCTGGCCTCAAAGTTACTGGATGGTTGAGCACAATCTTGAACTTCTGATGTTCCTGCTCTCACCTCCCCACATATCAAATTCTAGGCTCACAGGTGTGCACCCCCATGTCCAGTTCATGTTGTGCTGAGGCTCAAACACAGGGCCTTATGCATGTTAGGCTGGCCCTCTGCCAACTAAACCATATTGCTGGCCCAATGTATAAGTTTTTGAAAATGTAATGACAGAACATCATAAAGAGAAAATCCAGAGAAATCTGTGACATTAGCCAGAGTCAGTAATATGGTAAGCCCTCATTGTAAAGAAATATTGCATGCAATTAGTTATTCATGAGAAACACATACACAAGACACAGTAACTTTAAACAGGAAACATACAAAGCTACTTTGCTTATTGATCAGCTGATGAAAATGTGACTGAAGGCTCACAGGGTCAAACCCTGTTCCTCCCCTGGGAGCAATGGCTCAGCATGTGGAAATACTGTATCCATGGCAACGTTATAAAGTCTGCCACAAGTAACAAGAATCAACTATAGCTTTTTAAATGATAAGGTTTATTATGAGCAAAGACAACTTGAAACATGGAAACACTAAGAAAAAAAGGTACCTGCCTCCCAGGGTGACATCAAACAAAAAGTCAAAACTTTGCTGCACATCCTTTTGTTTCTTTAAGGCCATGCCGTGTGAACATACATTAGTCACTATTTATGACATACTCTTTGGGGCTTCCTTTGAAAATACTGCCTTTCTCATTGAGCATTCTAAAACCTGGTTTCTTTTATCGGGATTTTCCTGATGTGCATGCCTAATCCCCAGTCATTAGGCAAGTTTTGGGGGTTAATGTAACAAGACGTCTTTACACCAGGCCACCCGAGCCCTGCTGCCAGGTAGGCGCTTTCTGCCACGCTGCCTAACTTCCGCCCGCTGCCAAGTTAAGGTCCCAAGTAACACACAGAGACTTAGATATTAGTTCAAATGCTGTTTGGCCAATGACTAGGATTTCTCATCTGCTAGCTTAGTCTTAATTATCATAGATCTATATATTTTATAAGACTTATCTTATTGGATGCCAGCCGAAGCATCCTGTCTTCCCAGGCTCCCATGGTGACTCTGCCTTTCTCCTACATTTCCCAGAATCCTCCTTGACTCCTAGTCCCACCTATCTTGTTTTCCTATTGGCCAACAGTACTTTATTTACCAACCAATAA